AATGAAAGGTTCCTGGCTAAGAGTTCAGTCCACCATCCTGTCCAATAATAGGCAGGTGACAGCGACTGGAACAGCACAGATATTGTTCAGACAGAGGAAGTTACGTGTTGCTATCTCTTTGAAGCACCTATAGCCAGATGCTTCCACCACTTCAGGACTGATTATACCTTTTGCATTCTTGACCATCATCAGATTCCTCATGAATTTTCAATTTATTTTGTTTTTTAATAAATTATACTATTTTATGCCAAAATCTATAGAGGACCTGATGATAAAGGATATTGAGGAAAAATATCGTCCTTATGCTGAAGTGTTTTCAACCTTGACCTTGGCCCACTGTTCTTGATCTGTTGCTGCCCAGGATCATATGACAAAACAAAACATGATATGAGTGGGTACCTAATCTTCACAACACTCAGCTTTTTTATTAGCTGTACTAAGAAGTGTTTGTGCTTATGTTCCTCTGCTTATTATGCATTTAAATTCACAGTATGACTAACAGAGTATTGACCAATGCCACATCTTTAACTATGATATTATAATGTTCATGAAATACATTTGTGATGCAATATTGCATATTTTCTGAAGTAGGACATGAACTCGAGAGGGCAGAGGATGTAAGAAGTACTTGTTTGCATCTGAGAAGGAGCTACAAAGACTGCAGTGCACTGAAATTGCTCAGTGAACAAAGCTCATTCTACAGCTTCTACAAAAGTATCACTGCCCTCCTTTTTTAAATACATAAAGCGGTAGTTTTGATTCAGTGTGCCCTCAAAATTGCCACATTATCTGCACATTTACATTACTATCTCTTCCATTGTGACTCAGCAATTAATTGCTCCAGTTCCTGTATTGCTCCAGTATAGTTCCCCTGGCTCCTCCTTCTATTCCCTCTTGTTTAATTTGGACCAATGTATACTGACCTCTACCAAAACTCATTAGCACTTCTGTTCTCCAGAACAGAAGTTATATCCTATTTGCTACCACCAAGGCAAAAAAGGCAAATTAATTGAAAAAAAAAATTGGAACCTTTTGATTAAATGCTTTTCTCAAACTTTTTTCCTCAACAGCAAGACACAAAATGCTGATGGACGAGAATCAGGGTCAAATCATTTCATGGCAGTTTCAGGGAGAAGCAGGCCCTATTATCATGCTTTTTCAGGTTACTATTTTTGATAAGTTTATCCTTTTTTGTTTAAAAAACCCCATCAAAACAAATGACTTTTGATTCATAAAAGACATCTTAGAGCTTTTTAGGCCTATTACTACTTTTATTTAACTGCCAAAGGTTGCTACCAGCCTTTATAGAGACAGAATTGTGAACAAAGGAATTTAGACATTTCAAAGCTTGTGTATTTTGCATACCAGTTGTATCCTTTTACATATTGGTAAACACTGCTGTTTGGGGTTTTTTTTTTTTCAAATCTGAATTTTTAAATACTTTTATTTTCCAAAATTATTTTTCTTCTCAGCTGGTAAGATTCTCTTGATCTTGATTTAAAAAAGACACAACACATTTTCAAGGAAGGACATGATGCATATCCTTCACAGAATTGATTACAGAGAAAAAAAAAGTTATTATGATATGAAACCCATTTTTTCTAATGTGTCACCCATGTTGTTGTTTTCCTGTATTAAGAACATATACAATTTAACAAATTGGAGATCCAGATTAACATTTTTTAATATGTAGCAATTGACACTTTGGTGGCTATCAGTAATGAGCCAGCATTTCCTTAAAAGAAAAAATATTATCTACTCCTACAATTACTTTTAATCCACATCATCAGGGCACAACTTGGATCCCTGCAAACGGAAATGTGTAAGTGACCCCACCCTTTAAGAGACCCAATTATACTACTGGGGACCCATTCACCCACACTCATCCAATTAGGTGGCTATGCCTGAATATACTGATTTACAAGAGACAGCCAGAAATGTCTTGTGTATTTCATCTATCTTACAACAACAAAATGGCCTACATATCGAAAAAACATCCACATACATTTTCAAAATGAAATATAACTAGAAGAAATCAAATTCAAAGCCATAATGAAATTATAATTTCTGATTCCTGTAATTTTTTAAATTTCCCTCTATATTCTGGCATTTTCTTAACTAACATATAAAAAAGTCTGTTTCTACATACATGACAGGTTTTCTTGCAATATCAAATTAGAATCAACATTTTTATTAGCATTAAGAGAATCAAAATTGTAACTATAGACAGACAATGCAGACTGTAACAAACCCAGATTATAAACTCTGTCCTAGCCAAACATCAATAACATCACCTTTTAAAATATCTGTTTTTAAAATCTAACTAAAGTTAATTAGTACATTTATTTCATAGAAATGTGCTGGATCGTATTTGAGAAAACAGTATTTGTTAAATTGAGTTTTAGAACAAACTACTTCCTTCTTGTCCTGACTGTTGTTTTTATAAGCTAACAAGGAAAAAAGTTAAGCTTCAGAAAGACAGGCATACCTCAAAGGGACACAGTGCCCTATCTCATAGTAATGAGTAATGGTTCTGTCAGTAATGTGGCTCCAACTAAACTATTTGTGTATCTGACATTTTGAGGCTTGTAAACTGCCCCACGCTTGGGAAAAGTGACCAGACAGAAACCACCCAGTACTTTATTCCCTTCAGCTTTAGTTTAAGAAATACATAAGAGATTTTAATTTAACCCCTAAGCAGACAGCAAGATCTAATACTTCTCTCCTAAGAAGCCTTAGTCTAGCATTAAAGGCAAAACCCTCAAGAATGAAATGCTCTCTTACAACACAGAGAAAAGTGATCTTAGGCTAAGAACTCGCGAGAGCACATGGATTAGTTAAGCAAAGCCTCAGTCCATACTGCACTGCACAAGAAGGCCAGTGAAATCAGGGTACAGTACCTTTCATCTTGTCCCAGATCCTCACTGTCTGGCATTTCAGATGTAAAACGGAATTATCTCTCTCCCTCTCTACCAATCTAGATAATCCAGGAAATGATCTTCTAGTCTGTTTTGTGTTTTAGAAGCGACAACCCCAGGCACCTGTGCTGTTTGCTGCCGAGCCCTCCCTTGCTCAGCCAGCAAATGTTTACAAGACATCCTAAGTGCCTGCTGGTCTTGAATGAAGTTCAGAGTGTTTGGCTTTGATTGGCCAAGGCTATAAATAAACAAGTCGTGACTCACCTAACACACTATGACAGGGTGTTTAGTAGCAGGCACAGCCAAAAGCAAAACAGGTTGGGGTTTTTTCCTTCTGATCACGTGAGGAAGAAATCACCAGCCAGTTAGTACATTTGATTTTTCTGCTTCCACTGGAAATCTTACTTAATGTCTCTTGTTTTTATCAGGTGTAAGTAAACAGCAAGCAAAATTATAGGAAGCTAAATTACACCAACTTTAAAGTAAAAAGCTTAAAAATGTAAGAGCAAAGAGCTTCCTCCAACTGTAAGAATATCCTTTTTTTCCTACTCACGTGTCAGCCACAAGCTGTCAGAAGAAGCAACATTATTCTCCACTGACTGAATTCACAGTTAAAACCACCCTAACAATTCTTCTAAAATAAGAACTAGGAAGATGAGTTTCCAATAAAGATTATTTGCATTTCTTTTAAATTCTGATGCCAAGCTTGTCTACCACAAGCAATCTTTAACTATCATATACCAGCCAACTGTATTTGAAGAGTCCTCAAAATGAAAGTATGCCCACTAGAGGAGGAGGTTTTCTGACAAAACATTTCAAATGCCTCTGAGAACAACCTAATGTGAATTAACAAATTCAGTTTCCCCTTATGGCTTTTTGCCACGTGCATGACAGGGGCTCTGTCCCTCCAGCTACACCTGCTACAACTCTTTAATTTTCAACACCTTATCTTTGCTGATGAAGCTTTGTTGCACAGCCCAAGACTCCAGGGAACACATATGTATGTTGTTCAGCACATTGCTCAGCACCAGTCCTTCACATGGCTTCCTTCTTCCATTAAACAGCTTCACCTATTGTTCTTTATATTTAAATATATATATATATTTAAAAAGAAATGTAAAATTACATCCAGAGATCTCCACACAGAAATCTTGTTTATTTCTGTAAGGGAACCCAGAAAGATCTAGATGTGTCTCTTCTATATGAGATAGTAGAAATTGTCCTGGGAATGACACAGCATAAAAATAAATTTAAAAAATAATAAGCAAAGCTGGAACAAAAGCTATGTCAGACTAAAAAAACAAGCAGCCCATATCTTTGATTTGGTAAGCTATATTTGGTGCATTGTGGGTAATGTATCATTCACTGGAAAGCTGCTTAACTTTCAAAACTACAAAGGATTCTCTCCTTTATTTTTATTTTAATAAAAAATGCTTCAAATTACTAGTAAGATCTAGATAAAAATTGCAAGTAATTGAAAACCACATAACATAGATATATTACTTCAAATTGCATCATTTATATTTACTATGTGAGCGTCTGAATTAATAAAATTATGTCAGGAAGTGGTGAGAAAACAAAACGAAACAGGAAGGCTGCCTATCTGTGATTGGCAACTTCCTTAACTCTTCTCCCAACATTCCACTTAGTTCCTTTTTCCTTCTCTTTATCTCATCCAATCTTGCATATTCATACCTTTCTTCAGGCTTTCACAAGACACCAAGAACTAGTAAACTAGTTCTTCCTGAACTAGTTTAGTCACTACTGAACTTTCAAAAGAAAGGAGGGAGAAGAGAAACAGAAATAAAGTCCTGTATCTAGATTGTGCAGGGCAATATATAAATATGTATTAATAAATGTCCCGTGCTACTCAGTAGAGACCTTTAGTGGTCACCTATAGCTGCATATTCCTATACCAGCCTCTCTTTTTTCTTTTTTGCTTCTCATAGTTACTGCTGAAATAATTAGAGCTGAATTTCCTTCAAGCTTACCCTGAAACAACAGAGCTAAATTCAAAAATCCTAATTAATAAAAAGGTTTTGTGTGAAAGCTTCATTAAAATTCTGAAGTCCTCTAATTAGGAAAAGAATCAAAAGAAATAACTGAAATGTGCAAACAGACAAAGGCGTCATTCAAAATTTAAATGTAGCATCAAAAATAAAAGCAAGCAAAACTAAACCCCTTGTGCAACTTCAGCTGCTTTTGTTTATGCGCATTGCAACATAGCCACGTGCATTTACTATGTAAAATGCCTTTTAAATGCATTTGATGACCACACTCAGGAGCTGAAAAGCTTTCAGTATAATGTCTATCCCTGTGTTTCAGTCTTGGAACTTGATGCACTCTTCAAGTACAACTTCAGACTGTTCATATAGTGCTTTGCTGCTACAGCAGAAAAATGGATCATTGTTTACTTTCACAGTTCCTTAGAACTCCTTCCCAGCCCTCATTTAGGTAAAGAGGATAATATCACCTTGTTTACTTACTGATAAGCAAGTCTTGGAACAACTACGTTCAAAAGTGTCTACTAAATGAATATGTAACTGAAATGTCAAGGACCTGTTATTTGGAAGTAGAACATTTATAAAACACTTCAATACTCAAAGACTAGTTTCTACTGATACCACTGCTCATCGTATTTGCTAATCAGACTTAAGAACAGCATGAGCACATAATTAGAGAAACTGCAATCACATTAAATAATTTTGCTTATTATCACAAAGACTAGAAAATTAATCTCAACTATTTTTGATCATTCTGAATCTTGTCCACCCAAGGGAAATTACAGCTTGTATCGGCCCATCTGGAGGTTTCCAGCAGATAGGGCTCCAGATTTATTTCACAGCTGCACAGGATGGAATGACCTCTCTGAGTACACTTAGGTGGAACAGTGGCAGGTGAGGAGAAGTACTGTACTGAATCAAGCCAAAGGGCTTCTGGCATCTCCTACTGTGTCCAAAAGCACAGCCTAGGGAAAAATGCCTTCTCCAGATAGTCTTCCAGACTCCAACATGAGCTTCCTGAACCAGCAGTGATGTCTGTATTTTTAGCTCTGAGAGGATTTCCATCCTGTGATAGCATTTCCAACATATCATGCAGCTTAACTACTGTTTGAAAAAAAACCAACCCAAACAACCAACCCCTACCCAATTTTGTTAGCTCTGATCTAGCCACTTCAACTATTTCTAGGAAGTCTTATACTAGAACAGGTAGATGACAGTTCTCTCTCTTTAGCTTTTCAAAGCTATTTTTAATTTTTGCAGACCATTGCATTCTTTTTGATGGGACTGCAAAACTGAAAGGTGGAGCTGCCCTAGAAAACTGCTTGCCTGGTACTAGAATTACTAAAAATCAGTTTCAGACTTCTTCGACATGGAAAACTCAAAGTGACTAGAAATGACAGAACTGAGGAAGGAAAAGCTCTTTCCCCACCCATGCTATTTTTCAGGGAGGTTTTTACTTTCTTGCTAAGTTGCAGCTCACGTTACAACTTCCTGAATTGCAGGGGACTTTGGTCAGTCTTCTCTGTCCCTTCTGAGTTTCTCCTTGCCACTTCTGAGGCCTCAACTTGCATGACTAATCACTGCATCTCTCTGCAGTCTCTTTGCTTCAGCTGCTGTCTTCCAGCCTTGCTATGACTGTCTTCTCACATTCAGCATTTTCTGAAAGTTTCCTCCCTTTGGCTCTGTTGGTTCCTCAACAGAAAGAACAAGCCCCTCCACCTATAGCGAGGTCTTCCCCCTGGCCCTGTTACTTCTGAAAGGAATGCGAAAGCACTTGACTTCATGATCAACAGGAAAAATATTGATTGATATTGATCATGTTCTGCTCTTGGTCAGCTCATTCAGCTTTAAAAGCCCTACAGTTGGTTACTTGTTTCATGCATGTAAGCTGTCATATGCCCTCAAACCTTCTCATTGTTCCAAACTCCTTTGTTTACTATAACCAGTTTAAGGTAGGAGAGACTAGAAATGTACACCATTATTACTGGTGACAGGTACTATTGATTTACACATTTAGCACCTTTTGGTGAGTTGCTCCTCACACTCTGTTGGCCCACATTACCACATTTTTCCAGAGTACTTGGTCTTTATTAGGATAACTTCAAGAATCAATTTTCCCATATTTTCAACATCCAAATTTACTGACTGTGTAAAGCTGACTTAAAATTACAAATGTTTGTGATATTTACTTAACTTTGAGATCCCTTCACACACACTAAGATATGCACAGGAGGCTTGTTTGAGAAGAGAAGCAGCCTTTTGTACAAACGTAAATGAGAAAACATCATGACAGACCTACCAAACATGCTGAGTTCTTTGCTGCAGTATTATAAGCCGGGTATAACCTCAACCCATTAAGCAGTGTGCTACACAACGCTTAAGAGACCTATTATGCACAAAACATAGTTTTGCATTTCATTTGTACCTAGGAGTAGGAATGGCAAAGAAAAACAAAACAAACAACCTTTCAACAGTCAAAGACCAAAACAAAATAAGCACTCAGGAAAATTTTTCTCTCTCCATGAAATCCTGCATATTATGCAGGACTCTTCTTCACACCTGAATGAAATAAGTAATTGTTAAAACATTTTTTTAAATCACAAGCTGCATATTCAAAAAAACCCAACAAAACAACCAAGATTCAGTTTCTACATTAAAAAAGTAATGCAACATTCAAAAACCTAACAGGATATTGCATGCAAGAAATAACTTGCTCAGCAGAACAAAGCACATGACTATGTATTTTTAAAGAACCATAAAAAAATTAAAGCACACTGACTATCAACACACACCAAACCTGATTTGTATCCAAAATAATGAATTGTCACTGTGAGGTTTTAGTGTTTCATCGTAAAGCACATAATTATGCACCACAGGTGCATTAGAGTATTTCCCAGTTTTCAAACACAAATAGAAAGAAGAGGTAATGGAAGTAAGAGACATTCAAATACAGTTTAAAAGGCAAATTACTACATTTTAGTCACATGAAGATAGCACATTTTCTCTGGTGCAAATATGATAATCATGCTAGATTTTTGTGATAAAAAGAGCTGGAGATAGGGCAGTAGAAGATTTTACCATGAAGGGTGAAAATCTCAACTGCTCTGGGACTTTTTTGCCATAGGATCTTGTTAAACAGCTATAAAAGAAACA